GAAAGAAAGAAAGAAAGAAAGAAAGAAAGAAAGAAAGAAAGAAAGAAAGAAAGAATACCTGACAGGAAAAATGTTTTATGATCAACGTTCTTATTCCATGCAAGGTCTAACAGCGGATTGCTAACAAGTGAAAAATAAATAAATGCATAATCTCATTTTAACCATTACAGCCTACAACACAATCATCCATTCTATCTACGCTATGAGGGAAAAAGAGAGAGAAGACTGTGACCGTATCTAGAATCCGTCTTCCCAAAGTGTTTATTTTCTGTACAAAGTTACCTGTTAGAGGCTGTACTCTGTTTCGCATCTTTTGCTTCTGCAGTTTGTCTTTGATGACCTCCATCATGTTTTTCTTAGTCACATGGAGCACACCTAGGTTATTAAATCTGATAAAAAGACAAATTATTCTCTACTTGCAGTAACAATCACGATGTCTATGTGAGCAGCACTCTGCTCAAATTCTGGACACTTGAACTGAGATAAGCATGTTAAAAAAAATCACCAAACATTTAAAAAATAGAGTTTTCCCTATCATTACTGATGGAAACATGTATATCATATAGCATCAACCAAAAGGCACTGGGGAGCTTAAAAAAAACACTGATAGGGGAGCAGGAAAGCCGAATTCTCCATGCCCATCTTTTAAAAACCATGCAGGTGATATCAAATTTAACTATGCAAACAATGTGCTTACTTTTATTGATCATAAATCTCCCCTTATTTAATTTCAGTGAATGAACAGGGGCTTGAAAACTGGAACCAGGATAAATTGATATGTTTCTATTCCAAATTAAAAGTTCAACGTACAGTAGTCTTTGTTCAAAGGGGAGTTACTGTAGCCTCCTAATCTTTTTCAACTCTAGGGTTTTTATTACTTAGTTATCAAACTTTATACTGGTAGCTTTATTTGCTTCTTAATGAAGTTTAACAGCAGTTGTAAACCAGCTGATATCTTCATTTACCATAGCAGATTTTTATGTTAATTAGTCATTGCCAGTTCATATATACTAATGTACATATCATGCACCTTTTAATATCGTGCACCTCTCTTGCCAACCCCCAACAAACATGCCAATATCCATTACAAAATGTGGATTTTCTGATGTTTGCTTCAACTATTTGAATTTTGAGAGATTTACAATATCTTGTGATATCTTTTGCAAATGGCAAAAGGATTGGAAACGGTAGCAAAAACCGCCATGAGACCATCAAAACTGGAACACCAAATGTAAGTATCAAAAAGTATCTTCATATTTAAAAAATAAATCTGACACTAATTTTATTTGGAAACTGCTCATAGAGTATAATTTTGGACGTAACGTTCCGCAATATCCAAAATTCAGGTTTCTGATAAAATAAGATTTTATCACTGGCAAGGGTGGGATGCTACCGGTTCTGCCTGGCTCTATAGAACCAGGAGCTCTGAAGAAGAGCAGACACCGAACCGGTTCTGTGTCTGCTGCTGTTTGGCCCACCCGGGCTCTTACCTGTCCTTCATTTCCTGCTTTTTCAACCTCAGCTGCTTTGCGTAGCACAGCTGAGGTTGAAAAAGCAGGAAAAAAGTGGCTTTTCAAACACTGCACACCTGCACGCTGCGCTTTTGAGCTGTCCGGACAGCACAGCTTAAGGTTTGTTACACACACGTGCGCACAAAACGTGATCACCGAACCAGTAGCAACACCGGTTAAATCCCACCCCGGCTCACTGCTCATAAAAGTGAAGAGTTTCAGATTAAATAGTACTTATTATTATTATTACTGTTTTTGTTAGTAAGCTAAATCTCAAATTATTTTTATATAGTACATTATTTTCACTCATAAGGTATTAATCTCTGATTAAACAGTAGTCAATATTTTTAAAGTGCCACATTCGTATATGATTTAATAAATCGTTTTAATGTTGCTAATGGAATAAATGTGTTTTTCTTTTTTCTTATAACATTCTGTAAATTCCTAGCTAATGTTTAGTTTGTAAATCTCTCTTTTTCTCTCTCCAGCTTTTTCCCCTTGGTTCTAATTCTTAAGTATCTAAAAATAAATTATGTATATGTACATGTATACGTGTGTGTGTGTGTGTGTGTGTGTGTGTGTGTGTGTGTATTTAAAATGTTTAAGTTTCTGTTAGGAACTTTCCATAACTACAGATAATCCTTATTTAGCGACAATTGGTACTAGCAACTGGATCATAAGCGAAGCAGTCACTAAAAGTGCAATTGTGCTTATGATCTTACTTCAGCTTTCCTTTGCTTTACAGACCTGTTCAAGGTCAAAAATGTGAGAACTGGTTGTAAGGTTATTTTTTTTATCACTACTGTAATTGCAAATGGTCATTAAACAAGGCAGTCACTAAATGAGAACTACCTGTAGCATCTAGCCCACTATTTGCGCTATCTGAATAAATAGTGTAAGTGAAGCTTTACAAGAGAAAACACCTAAGTGTGGAAACACGTGTTTCAATTTACTTGCACACTGTATGAACTCTCTGCAGCCACCACATCTTTGCATACAAGGAAAACACAATGGAATTGTATATTTGTGCTGAATTTTCCTTGCCAAAGCAAACGTCAAAAAGCTTTCATTACATAAGATATTGCAATCCATCCAATCTAACAAATGGAAAAAAAAATGCTATCATGAAATAGGTCTTGCCTTTTTAACCCCACTATCATTCCTTCATCACTAAGTCATACATACTGGGCAGTCATGTCCTTTGGGCCCACCATCATAATGCAGTTGCCGGCTTCATTACATTGTTTTCCCACAAGACTATGAGCATGCACTTGTGGAGGATCAGTGTGTGTCACCAAGTCCACCTCTATCCTAGCCAGTCCAGTGTAATTAGAGATCTGCAATAAAATTATGACAAAATGACATCAAGGAGGTCTTTCCATAAACACCGTCTTTCTATGAAACATTCTTCAAATGTACATGGAACTTTAAAAAGAAATATTGTCATATATAATTTATACTGAGGTGATTTATGCTCATGATACAAACCTATCAAGTTTCATTAACACAGACTACAATAGACTAGCTTAGTTTAGTTAGCCAAAATATTTATTATTTTTATTTGTCTTATTTATTAAATAACTATCCAAAATAACTCTGAGCAGTTCATGTTATGAACAAGCAGCACACTCATATTTTTGCATTTATAAAGAAGTAAGCAAAAAAATAAAAAAATAGTACAATGAAATAATCAATTTCTAAATTCTGATTTAGTGTGCCTCAAAACATGCAAAGCTAGTTTTAACAGCTATTTTTACTGATAAATTGTTTGAGTATAATAAATATCTTAGTTTATCTGGCTTGCTGATCTGCTCACATCAAATGAAAATAAAATTACTTATGGATAGAAGCAGATGGTCTTTTCAATCTGGTTAATTCCATACATTTACGTTTTGGTTTAATACACTTTCTTGATTTTAATTTAATCTAGGATTATGTTTTTATGTTTTAGCCAGAATATTTAAGCTTCTTTTATACACAATTCTTGTTACACCTTATCCAACTAGTTTTGAGGAATTTTCTTGAACCAAACAACACAAATTGGAACAAAAGTTTTTTTTAAATTGATCATAATTTTGTTATTTAGATCGCATTCCAAAAGATCCAAGGTTAATTAACTTGACATTTTAAAATTAACTTAGAATTCTGAATGCAAGATACAGGTTCTAAAAGAATTTCTAAATGCCTTCCATAAGGAAGGGTAAAATATACAATAATTAGTTTCATAACATGCTCTTCCTTTTTATTCCTGGGTGCTCTCTGTCCATGGTTATAAGAACAGTCTTGTGCAAAATGTAGAAAATCAAATTCTTCTATTCCTACAGAATAAATGTTCAGTTGCTCTGGAATCAAAAGCCTGCTACCGGAAGCAATAGATTTAAGGCCCAAGACTAACACAGTAAAAATAGATGCATTTACTTCAGTCAGTTATCTATAACGACCAGGCGTAATGTTATGAAAACTTTAAAATATTGAAATGTGTATCAAAACTAATTACTTTTGTGACTTTCTGTACTGTATCTTAATTCATCAGAAAGTCCAAACAAAATTATGTACCAATAAGACTACTGAAGAACTATTTAACTTTTACTAAAGACAGAAAAGGCAATGTAGATTATTCTTTAAAAAGAGATTTTTCATAAAACGTGATAAATGAATGTGATGCTCACCTTGACAGTGGGATAAGTCTTGTGCCCCTTCTCACTAGATGCTCCAGGCAGCCCACCATGTGAGGGCCCTTCACAGCCATAACGGAACCGGAAACCTCTCTGCCAAAAACGGTAATTCAAGCAGAGCCATTCCATCAGAAACAAACAAACAAACAAACGGCTAGGAAAAAGTTTGCCTACAATACGATATAGATGGGGAATGATGGAGTCCTTGATGCTGTCTGAGCTTGGTTGTTGCAACTACACTGAAGATGTTACCTAGCGTGGTAATGAAACATCTGCAAATAAATAAGCGCTGAGAGCACAAAGTTCAACGCTGTGAACCCACAATTCGACTCTGAGCTACATATATTCTCTTCTATTTATATAGTTGGGGAACCCAGCATCTTTAGAAAATCCTTACCTGTTTTGGCTGTTCAATTATAGTGAGAAACGGGCCTTCAACTAAAACAAACAAACAGGAAGATATTTAGAGTATCGCAATGTTAAATGCACTTGTAAATTTATGTAATACAATTTAAGAGGAACAGTATTAACAAAACACATGGACATTAGCTCCTTCCCTCAGTTATCTATAGTTCCACATTCCCCAGGATACATAACTTACCAAAAAGTTCCTTACCTGTCTCCATGAACAGTTCTTTCTGCTCAATCAAATGAGCACCAAACTGAAAATCGTCATAGTCTATCCCATCTAAGCACTGTATACAAACAAGGATCAAGAAGAAAACCAATCATCTTAATGCCCAGATGATTGAAAGCATTATAGACACAGCACTATAAAGATTCTAAATAAGTCAGCAGGAATGATATCTACCTTGTCTCTGTTACTAATGACAACTAAATGAAAACATTGGGAACCAAAAACAACTTATCTAAGGCAAGATCTCCTGAGCATCTGATAGCACAGAATGCTCCCATCCAACCCTCTGCACTGGTGTACACTACAATTCACATAATAAATGCACTTTGAATACCTACACTCTTTAAAGTCAGGCAACCCGAAAAACCAATAACTAACTAAACAAGAATGTTAGATGAGTTTCTTAGGGCATATTTCTCTTCTGGAAGAAGGCAAATATGAAAATGATATCACCAATAAGTTGTTTGGGGAAAAGAAAAACAACAACCATTTTATATATATATATATATACATATACACACATTGTATATACATACATAATGTATATACATACATACACACACACACATATATATATATGTTTTCCTAAGTTTTCACGGGTACTTACATGTATGGTATTCAGCTTTGTTCCGGTATTTTCCCACATCATTGTAGTTGTGCTTTTAAAGTTGTAGCAACGTTTCGGCAGAATCTCATCTGCCATCATCGGGCTTCTGTATACTGTATAAAGTTGCTACAACTTTAAAAGCACAACTACAATGATGTGGGAAAATACCCGAACAAAGCTGAATCCCATACATACACACACACAAACAGTTGTAGTACAGAAAACACAGAGCTATTCCTTTTTATGTGTGTGGCACCTCAAGCATTATGCTCTGGACGGACTGTTGTGTAAGGCATATTTGCTTGCCTTGGGCCCAACAACAAATAACAAAGGCAGAGAAGGCAACTTTTGGTTTTTATTTTAAGCTTTCTCATTACCCCAAAAGATACTGCAGCTTTGCAAACTTGGGACTCGAAGGCAAGGCAAGGCAAGGCAAGGAGGGCCCAGACTTCACCCAGATCACAATTCAAAGTGACCTGGGAGGGGGGGGGGAAACTTGCAAGCAATGGAAGACTCACCGCGGGATAGCTTTCACCATCCATGGAGGATCGAGCCGATACTCGGGGAATTGGCAATACGGCTCCGCTGAAGGAAACCAAACAGACGGAGGAACTTAAAAAGACGAAAAAGCAAGCGCACACGCTCGGCTTCTGCTGCTGCTGCTTCTGCCGCCGCCAAAGGAAGCCTGGGGGAAACTGGGCGGGCAAGGCGGGCGGGCTGGAAAGTCCCTAGAAATCCAGCAAAGCCCAACGGAGGGAGGGACAGACGGAAAGGCAGGCAGGCTCTGCCCCGCTTTCTCGCGGCTTCTGGGCAGCGGCAGCGGCAGCTCCCTTCCGCCTTCCTCGCAGCCTTCTCCTCTGCGGGCCCTCTCGTGGGGGCGGGCCGAAAAGCGCGGCCAAGGGGCGCTTCTGGGGGAGACGCCCAGCCGGCCTTCCGAGGAGTCGGGGGGGGGACGGGGGGACGGGACCTCATTCTTCTCCAAGCAATTGGGAGTCAGCTTGGCCCCCGCCCGCTGGTCCTTGGCGCGGGGAGGAAATGCCCCGATACCCTGCCGTGGTGGCATTGTGGCCGGCGTGCTAGGTGGTCGTTGTTCGGGGGTTTCAGACGGATCGCTGAGTGGCAGGGAGGGCAAGAGAGGAGGAGGAGGAGGAAGAGGAGGAGGAGGAGGAGATCCGCTTCCCCCCCAGGAAAATGGAAGCCCGGGGAGGGCGTCTCTTTGGAGGCACCCTAAAGAGGCACCAAAAGTCGGGTTGGAAGAGCCCGGCGGCTGCTCCGGCGGCTGCTGATGCTCCGGCTGCGCTACTCACCAATAATTTACCGCCAAACCTCTCTGCCATCCTTGAGGCCAAACTTCCCCGGCCTCGCCTAAGCTCCTCCCGTTCCTTCCGTCGGGGTTTTTTTTCCCTGCTTGTCAGCTGATTTCGCGAGGGGCGAACTCCGGCAAAAAGGTGCGGAGGGCGAGGGACGCCTCCGGGCAAAAGAAGCCGCCGTAGATCATCTGCGCGGCGAGCGAACGTTTGGGGCCGGGAGAATCCTCGTCAGCCGCCGCCGCCGCCGCCTGGAGAAGTTTTTAAATCTCCGTTTCAAGAGAGGTTTGAAAGAAAAAAATATGACAGCAGGGAAGCGAAGGGGAGAAGGAAGAAATGGATTCTGGTCGGAACGAGAGAGAGAGAGAGAAAAAAAACTTGTTTGGCTCCATCCCTGCCCTTGGAAATAAAACTCAAAATTTGAATTTCTGAAATCTGCACCATGCTGCAAAAGTTCGCTTTCCTCTCGATCCCATTCCTCGGGAAAGAGAGGCTGCCTGGTAAATTGGTGAGTTGGGTCAAGTCAAATCTCTCTACGCTTGGAAGCAGAAGTAAGAAATGTTGAGTAGGGGTAATCCTGGACTTAAAAACTACAATTGAGACCAGAACTTCCCTTGTTTAGGTGAGGTTGTTAAGCAGGTCGTGCCCGGTTTTATAATCTTTTTATTTATTTTTTTGCAAGTTATGAAGTGATTCGTGCCAGTTTTTCAGTGAATCGCATGGTCATTAAGTGAATCCAGCTTCCCAGTTGACTTTGTTGGAAACCAGCTGGGAAGATGACAACTGGAGATCATGTGACCCCCCAGGACGCTGCAAATAATCTCCAAAAAAGATGAGCATCACCTAATTTTTTTTTAAAAAAATTTTTTGGGTGGGGAAATCCGGGCTGGCTGAGAAAAGAGTGCAAATCATGGCGGAGGCTTCCCTTTCTTCTCCCCCCCCCCCCCACTTTCTCTCTAGACACCCTGGCTGGCTGTGTGGCAGGGCCGGGAGGGTGCGCATGTAACAAAAAAAACCCCAAGGAGAGCTTGCCAGCTTGACTCAGCCTTGGCTTTCCGGCTGACGGGCGAGTGTCTTTTGTGAGCGCGCTACGGCTTTCTTTCAGCATGACCCCCACAGGGTAGTCATGTGAGGTTTGGCGGGGCTAGCCCGCTTTTCCCGCTGCCCTGAGTTTCTTAAAGCCGTGCCTGGGCGCCATCGCCACATCCTCCAGGATCCCATTCCCACCCTGCCAGCCCTCGTGTTAGTGAGGCCAGCATCGGTCGAGGCTAGGTCGGGCCAGTGTCTCATGGCGGAGAGCAGGTTGCGCATCTTCCCAAGCAACCAAGGCATGCCCAGCACCAACAAGGACCAGAGGAAGCTCCAGCAAAAGTGAGGCGCCAGAGAATCGGCCCCGGACGCTTCTCCACACCCCCCCCCCGCCGTCACCCTTACCTTCTCAGGACGGGCGAGTGAAGATTTATGGTGAACAAATTTAGAGGAAAAAATGGTTATAATTAATGTTTGTATAAGGTTTGTTATTTGTATTTGAAAGAGATTGTACCCAGACAGTGCACTGCCATTGTGAATATGGAAATCTCTCTATATAAAAGTGAAATACCACACACGCATCCATCACAAAATCTCCAGAGCCATAAAGCCTACAAACCTGAAATTTGGCAGGTATGTTTCTCTTGGCTTCTAGGGGCTCACTGCATTTAGAAAACAAGCAGGCTGGAAAACATTGAGAATCCACTTCATTGTCGGATCCAAGCTTTCCCTGAGGAATTATCCCAAGGCATATCTCAAAATATTGGCCAGAAAACACAACTTTTGATGCAGAGCTTGGATTTCAAGAAGAACCACATTTTCATGTTCACCAGGGTGGAAAACATTGAAAAGCTGCTTCATTTTCGGATCCGAGTTGTCCCTGAGCAGTTATCCCAAGGCAAATCTCAAAATGGTGGCTTGAGCTCAATTCATCCACAAAGCACAACTTTTCACGCAGAGCTCGGATTTCGAAAAGAACCTCATATTCATATTACCCAGCGTGGAAAACATTGAAAACACGCTTTGTTTTTGGATCTGAGCTTTTCCTGAGGAGATATCCCTATTCCTAACCCGAATCTCAAAATGGTGTCTTGAACTCAATTCATCCAGAAAAGACAACTTTTGATGCAGAGCTCAAATTTCAAAAAGTTCATTTTCAAGTTCCCCAAGGTGGAAAACATTGAAAACCCACTTCGTTTTTGGATCTGAGCTTTCCCTGAGGAGATATCCCTAATCCTGTCTCTAACCCTAATCTCAAAATGGTGGCTTGAACTCAATTCATCCAGAAAAGACAACTTTTGATGCAGAGCTTGGATTTTGAACTTTATTTTCATGTTCCCCAAGGTGGAAAGCATTGAAAACCCACTTCATTTTTGGATCTGAGCTTTCTCTGAGGAGTTATCCCAAGGCAAATCTCAAAATGATGGGTTGAGCTCTATTCATCCACAAAACACAACTTTTGATGCAGAGCTTGGATTTTGAAATGAACTTCATTTTCATGTTTTTCCCAGGATGGAAAACATTGATCCGCTTCATTTTCGGATCCGAGCTTTCCCTGAGGAGATATCCCTAAACCCTAATCCTAAACCCTAACCATTTCCCTTTACCCCTACCCCAACCCCAAACCTCACCCTTCTTACCTGACTTTCATTTTCGATCTTTTGAAGTGGGGTGTCTTTTTCTGTTCATCTCTTGCGGGCTTCGGCTTCATGTTGTCATATTAATATAATGCATTAATAATAAAGATACAGGATAATAGTCTAAAAATACCCTATTAAAAGAGGTTTTTTTCCCCCCTTCTCCTTGTTATTCCTTCCTGGACCACAGGATGGCACTGTTTTCTGTTTCCCTTAGAAAGGCGGCCGAGAAAAAAGCTTTTCAAAAATGCCCTCGAAAAAGGTTTTTTTAAAAAAGGTGACTGCGGTACCTGCTTTTCTGTCCCTTAACGAGAGCGTTCGAGCTTTCGTAATACCGTATATTAATAATGTTAATAATGAGGCATTTCAATTAATGGTTCGGAATAATAAACTTTGAAACCCAGCGTGGCGAAAAAGTTGCCACGCGAGGAAGTTGGGGGGGGAAGACCTAAAACGAATGGACGGGAAGTCGGCTGTCATAGAAAAGTCATTCTTCTCAGGCACCAGGGGGGAATGGCTGCGGTGAACGGGCAAGAAGTTCACCATGCCGAAAATGTCTCCGTGAAAGGAAGTTGGGGGGATGACTTAGGAAGCGGGATGGGAAGTCAACCATGGTGGGAAGGTCATTTTTCAAGGGCAGTAGGGGACGGCCGCGGACAACGGACAGGAAGTTCGCCTTGCCGAGAAATAACTCTACTATATTTTATTTCTTTCCTTTATTTATTATCCTAACACTCATCTTGTCCGCTACATGCCCGACTGTGTCTCTTTCCCAAAAGACAGGCTGGTGGAACATCTTCTCAGCAGGACTCCATCTACATCCGTTCAGCGGCCCGGTTCTAGAAAGTGGAAGAAATGGCTGTTATACTGGTACCTTTTTTCACAAAAATAGGGAGCGGGAAAAGACAAAGAGCTACTGAAATTGCCTCTCTGCGTTTGGGGAAAATGTTCCCACAAGATGGGACCCAAAGTTTTGGAACTGACCCTGTCTTTACAAAGCTGTTCATCCGCCTGTCTCTTCTCCTCCCTTTCGGTTTTGGATTCTGCTGCTACTGCTTAGAAGGCCCCCTCACGTGTCCTTTGCCAATCTCTCCCTCTGGCCAGGAACCGAAGCCTACGGCCTGTAGGAATGGGACTTTCTCTGCAGGGCTACCGGATTCTGTGTCAGGACTCTGGAGAGCGGCTCTTTCCCAGACTCTCAGAGGACCGAAGAATAGGGGGATGGTTCCATCTCTTGGAGCGAGCTTCAACTTATCCAGACTCTTAACTGGAACTCATTTCAATGGCATAATGTTGCTCTAGTTTTCACTTGCTATTTGTCTCAAACTAAGTGCCTTCATGGTTTAAAAACCCAAAGTACTGGTGTTGCTCTGTTAAGGAGATTTTCAAAGTTTAGGTTATGGCTCTATTTATTGCTACAGTTTAATTTAGTATGCTAAGATTTAGGGTGTAATCTATAGAGTTATTTCAAATTTTACACTCGGTATGTTACTTTTTATCTAACTGGATTTGGTTTCTTCTACCATCAAGGTACCTGAGAATGATTATGTTTATAGCAACGTGAATGCCATTAAAATTCTTAAAACAAAATAAGAACCGGTCAAATTAAACCTCGGCAAAAGAGAGGAGTTCATACCTTGAGAGAAGAGAATAGGAGATCGCCTGCCCCTCCTGTATCTCCAAATACCAAAGGCTGCCCTTCTCTTTGGCTCCCAACCTTCCCCAGTCTTTCTAAAATGAAAAGCCTCAACCTCAGTGAAATTGCCCCCCAACTCCAAAAAACCCAAACCTCTCAAGGACAACTTATCTGTTTTCCCCGAATTCCTTTGTAACAGCCAGCAGGGCAGAGCTCACACAAAAAACACATCCTCCTTCCTCCCCACTGCTTTCCCCAAAAGGCTCAAGCTCTCAGCCAGCAGGCCTTTTATAGGGCTGGACCTAATCAGTGAATGCAGCTGTGACTGGGAGAATTGAGCAGATTGCAAGCCAGACTCTGCAAAAGATTCAAGTTGCATGTTGCCTCGAGGTTTGGCCTCATGTTGTCCTATTAATAAGGTGTTAATAATTAAGATATAGGATAGTAGCCTAAAAGAACCCATTAAAAGCGGTTTTTTTCTGCCTGCTATTCCTTCTTGGACCACAGGAAGGCCCTGTTTTCCAATTCCAGGCTGCAGCAGAACAGGCACACGAGAAAGAATCCGGTTTCAAAAAAATGCCATTGAAAAGGTGTTTTTTTGTGTGTGGCCGCAATACCAACTTACACCACAGGAGGGCGCCGTTTTCTGTCCCGTAGAAAGAGCATTCAAGTTTTCATTCGCCTTTTTAACTCGCTTTAAGAAGCGAAAGGAACTCCTTCTCTCCCTGTGTTGCGGCCCCTGCTCCTCCTCTGCCCCTATTAATGTTAATAAGGATGTGTTT